GTTGCATTTCTCCTAATCTGATTACTCTTCAACAATGCTGAACAGTTTCTCTAGCTGGAAATGGTTGTAATTCCACATTTAGTGCATGTAATCTTGGCATACAGGTTTTGTGCGTCTCCTTCAGTGTTGTGTTTTTTTTCTCATGGATAGATGTTGCATCAACAACTGCAGCTCCACCGCAAACAGACATGACTGTCATTGGAGGTAATTGACGTCTAGTGTATTACCCTAATGACAAGGAATTATATATTGTGTTGGACAATCCTAGAAAGCTTTTGTGGCGATAGTAAAGGAATACACAATATACACAGTGTTTGCCAGCAGGTGTCATGATAACATGACCACCTGACTCCAGCTTCAAGCCTTTGGGTCTGGTTTGGGTCATGCGTCATGTACAACTTCCAGTTTGCATCCAGATTTGGGGCTTGTGATCAATTTTATATATTGTAATGTAAGATTTTCTTTTGAAAGACCTCTCTTATGCTCACCAAGGCTGCATTCATTTGATCAAAAATACAGTAAAAACAGTAATATTGTGAAATATTGTTACCATCATTATTAAAATAACGGTTTTCTATTTTAATATATATTTAAAGGGTAATTTATTCCTGTCATTGAAAAGCTGAATATTCAACAACCATTACTCCAGTCTTCAGTGTCACATAATCCTTCAGTAATCATTAATATGCTGATTTTGCTGAAACATTTCTTATTATTATCAATGTTGAAAACTGCATAATATTATGAAAACCACAATAGACTTATTTTTCATAATTCGTTGATGAATAGAAAGTTCAAAAGAACAGCATTATTTGAAATAGAAATATTTTATAACATTTTATGTCTTTACTCTTACTTTTGATCAATTTAATGCGTCCCTGCTGAATAAAGGTATTAATTTCCTCAAAAAAGGTCAAAACTTTTAAACTGTCGTGTTAGTCTATTTATTATATAACAATAATTCAATTATTTTGCTGACTTTTATTCTGACTTGTTTTGGCATTATCTGTCAGGTTGGATTGTGTAAATCATACTTTATTATATTATATCAATTACATATATTATTTCATATAAATTGTGTATTTGTTTATAATGCCATATGAAACATGCACAAGTTTGATTTCCAAATTAAGAAGATTTTTTTTTTTTAAATCATATGTGATTTTTAATTATACTTATATCTTCATTCTAAAGCCTCTAAAATTACTTTCAGAATACCTTTTTTATTATTTTTTTTTTTTAAATATATTTTGAGGTTAACACATTTTTTAATGGTTCCTTTTTTTGTTTACTAAAAGAAACTTGGCAACTACCAGTCATTATAGCATTAGTTATACTAGACTGTCTTTGCTTAATATCTGGTAACACTTTATTTTGATGGCTTCTTAACAGACATTATATTAACTGTAAATAACTACAGTCTACTAGTACTCTAATGAGAGTTAGTTGACGTGTAGTTGCAAAGTTATGTATAGTCAACAGAATGTGTAAAGGGGACCATCAAAATAAAGTGTAACCTTGAAGAGTACTGTTTTCTTCATTTGATTTATTGCATATTTCTGGCTGTTTAAAATGATTTTTCTTTTCTCTTTTAGTGGTAATTGCCCTGATCCTTCTGACTCTTGTTGTCTGTGGGTTCCTGCTGTACAGATACTTGTGCCACAGTAAGGGTGTTTACAGAACCGCAGGTGAGCCTGCTCCAGGAGTGGACCCTGACCAGGTCTACAATGACACTGTCACTGAAAACAAGAAGGAATACTTCATCTGAACTGCTTAGCATCAGAGGGATTTAACCCATGATCGATACGCATAGACTGCTGAAGACATCTAAATAGTCTATGTAGAGAGGTGTATGTGCAAGACATATGGGACATAAACCACTAGTCTGTGCTGTATGAAAGAATGTTTAGTTGAAGGGATACAGGTCGAGTTTTATGTTGGGAGGATAAGCCAGAAGTAAAAAGTTGTTTATTCATGAGGTCAATAAGCTCACCATCGGTTTTCGTATGATAAAGTTACTGTCAGTTACTGAGAAAATAATTTTTTTGCTGTCAAATTGTTATGCCTTTGTATATAGTTTATAGTTCACTCAAAAAAAAAAAACTCTAAACTCGCTGCTTCAGCAGAAATGACAAGAAAGTTCATATGCAGTAATCAACAAATAATTTATCAGTAATTATGGAGTTTTTATCAGCTATTACTAGCGTTCAGGTAGCATAAGTGGCACTGCACCTCTATCAAACGGCAAACATTGGAGGCACTGTACAAATTTGATTTGATTCGGTTATAAGTCGATATAGTGTTAATTTGCGGCTTTTCAATATGCCTTTTCCCTTTGATCATTTTGCCTAGCTTTTTATTACTTTTTTTTTTTTCTTTTTATTGGCACAACTCTTAGATTATGGATAGTTGGAAAGTCCACTGTTACAGTCCCTTGTAAAACATTTAAATGTATTTTGCTTTTTTTTTTAATTGACACATTTTATAATTCAAAATGTACTTTTGTTACATAGGCATGCTGTAACAGTGCCAAATATAATACCTCTGTCATTATTTGTAAAACAAACACATGCTGATCATAATATCAGATGCATATATGATACTTGATATTTGTTTGTGCAGGGTTACAGTCGTATGTTACTTGTTATGAAAATGAATGTAATTTATATGTCGGATTCTGAGTAATATTTTTTTAATTGCCCTATCAATATGATACTGCAGTTATTGATTATAATACAATGTCAAATACAAGTGTCTAGCTAGTTGAAAATTGCTAGTAAAACCAACATTTAGATTTAATTTGGAATTAATTCTGTGCTAATAATTTTGTCAGTGCAAAAATGATATATTGTAAGATATTTAACTTCCTTTAAGACTTTGGATTGTGATTGACAAAGATATAATGCATCATCTCCAAGATCTAGAGTCATTATTGCAGTGGAGTGAATGTGAATTGGTGACTTTTGACACACGTTTGTAATGACCTAGAGATAAACCTCCAAATATACAACCCAGCATACAAAAATATAAACATGAAACATTGAAAGACATATTACAACACAGATTGTCAAAATTCAAAATAGCTTTTATTCTAAATTTTGTTTTATACTTAAGGTTTAGTATAAAAAAAGTTAAGTGCACCACATTTTCATTGGAGACCATTTTGTCATGAAGCAAACTAGGAAGGACCTCGGTTCCTTGATGCTGCAGTGTGCATCCATTCTAACCCATCACTATCTTTTTATATTATATATATATATATATATATATATATAAAATCAAAAGGGTTCCCTGAACTGTAGTGCCCACAAAGACGTATACCATCCATGACTGTCATGGTATTGAGGCTCAAGATAAGCAGTGTATCCGCTACATTGCATACACAAACACACGGTGCCACATGCCATGATAAAATGCTGTGCTAAGTTGAAACGGATATTGAGTTCTGAAGGCTTTGCCCTCATGTTTTTTTGCCTTATGTTATTTTCCTAGCAAAGTAAGAATAAATGAAATGGGATTAAATAAGGAATGGCATAAAGTCAGGTTAGGAAACTACCAGGTCAGAAGCCTACGCCACAGAAAATTATAGAAATGGTGCTAAGGCAATGCCAGCATACTTGGCATGTTTATTTTTTTTTAATATTTTTTATTTTTTACATCAAAAACATTTATTTCCTTTATTTGCAGAGAGAAAATCTACCTGAATGGTCTTTTTTTATTCAAATGGGCAAAACCTTTAGAACGGTACTGTAGTGTCGGATACCCAGTGATGCACCTGATACATGTAAAGCCTAAAAAATGAGCCCCATTTGCCAGGCTAGCATAACATTTCCTATATTTTCAAATTCAATCAGAAAATATATATGGTATAGTGACCAAAAATAATTGGATACCATTGAATGTACGGAGAATAAACCTAAGTAAGCATTTATAAGCATTTCACCTCTGTGCTATCTAGCAAAATAAGCAGCATTTTAGATTTACGGTCACATCTAATACAGATAACTGCTACAGAGCTTAAGCGTGTAGTGTCGAAGAGTAAACGGCTGCTTTTGAAGGTCATTCTATCACTGTTGGGAGTAGAAATGAAGATTTCGCAATTAAATCAATTAGAAGCGCAAAAAGCACTGGAGACAACTGCTGGTGTAACTCAGTGCATTCTGTGAGCTTTTCCTTTTTTGATAGGTATTTTTCTAAATCACATTAGAGACGAGAGAGAGCAAAACTTTAATCCCTTGCGAAACATTTACAAATAAACACGATTTCTCAGCCGTTGTATTTGCTGCTACGTATTACCGCACTGCTTTGAAAATCATCAATGCAGCACCAATTATAACTGACGCTATTCGTATTTAAATGCATATGTACAAAAGAAATCTGCAAAAACATTTCAGAATTGGTTGACAGTGCACAAATTAATCCTGTAGTACTCCTAAAAAATTGAACAATTAAAATTCTTTATTAAGAACAAAACTACTGAAAAGTGCATGCAGAAACATCAAGATGCAACTAGGAAACATTTATATATTTTTAAAACACAACCCCTAGAAAATGCAGTCACAGCAGTGGTTTGCTCTGCCCGGAAAGCAATCACCATCATCTAAATATGATATGTTTATTTATTTCAGTATGAATCTGTGTGCAGATGTACTATGACAGAAGACTTACAAAAAGCGAAAATCTTTGGTACAAGCAGCTCCCCACAAAAAAAAAAAAAAAAAAAAAAAAAGCTTGATGGGC